ACACAGATTACTTGGAAAAGAATCACCTCTTTGCCCAGAGTTGCCAAGAAAACTGGAAAGCATTTGGCAGAAATTAAGGTTAGGCCAACAGCTTATACCATACACCACCACACAATCAAAATGCACCTAGGACCTGAACATTAAAGGTCGCACCCCAAAAAAAAATAGGAATCAGACCAGGTATCTTGCATCTAGCTATAGTGAGGGGGAGAATTCTTGACCAAACAAGATAAAAAAGATTATTTAGAATATGTGAAACTGAAAATTGAAAAGCTTTTACATGAATAAAATCAACATAACTAGTATTATAAGAAAAGCAGTCACTTGGAGGAAAAAAATCTTTACATCAAGTATCTTTGACAAGAATTTCAAGTATATTTGACCAAAAGGATCAGTGATCAAAGGATAATATGAACAAACACTTCTCCAAAGAAGAATTGTTAACTATTAATAACCATAAGAAATGTGTTCTAAATCAGTAGTAAAAAATGCAAATCAAAGCAACCCTGGAGTTTTAGATCACAAATTGACCACACTCGATAAATTGGCAAAACTAACCAAAGATGATCATCACTGTTGGATGGGGGGGTGGACCAGTAAACTGATTCAACCATTCTGGCAAGCAATTTGGAATTAGGCTAAGAAGTAATTGAAACGTCTATGTTTTCTGACCCTGAGGGAAGGAAGGGAGGAAATGAACATTTAATATAGTACTTGCCAGGTGCCAGGCACTGTGCTAAGCACTTTACAAATATCTCATTTAATCTTCACAACAATCCAGTGAGGTAGGGAATATTATTATCCTCATTTTACAGCTGAGGAAATGGAGGCAAACAGAGGTTAAATAACTTGACCAGGGTCATATAGCTAGGAATATCTGAGGCTAAATTTGAACTCGGGTCTTCCTGCCTCCAGGCCCAGTGCCTATCACCTAACTGCCTCTAGGCGTATGCCCCAGGAAATTGGTGATTTAAAAAAAAAATTCCGATAAACATAATATTTAGAGCAGCACCTCCTTGTAGTAACAGAGAGCTAGAGCAGGCCTGCACAACCTGCAGCAGGCCAAAGATTTCCTCTACATACAAAGCATGTTTTCCTCTACATTTTTCAAGGCCCCCGAAATCCTTGGTGTGTGGGCCCCAGGTTGTGCAGGCCTGAGCTAGAATCAAAGGAGGTGCTCCTGGAGTGGTGAATGACTGCATGACTGTGTGGTGCATGAACGGAGCTGGTTGTTATTACACTGTGAGAAATGAGGAGCACAGAGAGGCATGGGGAGACGCAAGCGATGCAGAATCGGGTCTGTGATGTACCCTGGTGACGCGGCAGTGGAAAGAACAGGAACAAAATCTAAAGTGAAGGCCGTGCAGCGGCCATCCCTCGATTATCTCTCCTTCATCTGGGAAATGTTTCTTGTGCAGCATGACCAGTATCTGTTCTTGGGTTGTCTCCCCCAGTAGACTGTGAACTGCTTGAGAGCAGGGTCTGTCTTTTTGCCTTTCTCTGTATCCCCAGTGCTTACTTAGCTGTGTGCCCAGCATGCAGCAGGTACTTAATGAGATATTTATTGAATGAATGAGTCAGCTTGACTTCAAAGAAGAGAGATGAGAGTCTGCATTTGCATTTTCCATTCTGAGTTGCTTTTTTCCTCTCTTTTGAATTTTTTATTTTAAAGGTTAGTTTTGTTTTTTTTTTTTGTTGTTGTTGTTGAAAGTAAGGAGCTTATGTTAGGAAATGAATATAATGTTAAAGCCAAAAGATCAGTTAAAAGTTTTAAAAGGAAAAAGAAAAAGAATGGGTTTATGTTGCTAATGTTCTTCCACTCAAGACTCTAAGCTTTCATTTTTGACATTTAGCCCTCTCTGGTCTGATATTTACTTTTCCTAGACTTCATATTTTCTTCATTCTGATGCATGGTCCAATAGTTCAACCAATTATTTTTTCTGATACATATATTATATCCACAGCTTAGATATCATTGGTTTGCACATGTAAATTTTCCTATGGTATAGACTTTATACAGAATTAAATATTTTTTACATTAAAAAAATGAGAAGAAAAAGTAAATGTACTTTAGTAAAAAGAAAAACTAAAATTACAGGTATAACTCAAAAGAAATAATTCTCAAAACAGTATAGTTTGCCCTTGCCTTGGTCTGTTAACACAGTTCACGAGTGTTTATTTATTTATTTATTTTGGCAAGGTAATTGGGGTTGTGACTTGCCCAGGGTCGTACAGCGAGTAGGTATCAAGTGTCTGATGTCAGATTTGAATTCGAGTCCTCTTGACTCCTGAGCTTATGCTCTATTCACTGCGCCACCTAGGTGTTTATTACACTCCCTGTGACCTAATAATCCTTTTGATTGGAGCATGTGATCACCAAACCACACAAGGTGGGATGTAGAAAGGATCTCAGCAGCTCTCTGGATACTTCATCTTAAGTGATAGGGACCCATCTCCTCTGGCAAAGCCCCTGACACTGAACCTGTTTGCCTGTTTGCTCCTGGTCCTGCCTCTGGGCCAGACAGAAAAGGTCTGCTCCTTCCCCCGCCATATTTGAAGGCATCTCCTCGGTCCCACATGACTCTTCCCCTCTCTGGGGCAAGTATTCCCAGTTCTTCAGTTGATCCCCCTGTGTCACAGACTCAGGACCCTTGATCATCCTGCTGACCCTCCTCTGGACACTTTCTAGCTTATTACTGTCCTTAAGCTGTGGCACCCAGACCTTTTGTCTTTGTCTTGCCAGGCCCAGCCCAGTGCTTTGCACATAGTAGGTACTTAATGCGTGTTTATTCACTTGAATTATGGATGTCCTTGAAATCAGCATGGTGTAGTAGAAAGAGTACTATACTGGGAGGTGAGATATCCGAATTTGAGTTCTGATTCTGTCACTTGTTAGTTGTACGACCTTAGACGAGATGTCTTCCCCTTTGGTAAATGAATGTATTGGACAAGATGATTTCTCAGGCCCTTCCAGCTGGAAAATCCTGCAGTTACGTTAAATAGTCAATTCCCTGTTGTACATTTCAGGAATCCATCTATTGATTAAAGTGGTGTTTGCCATAAAACTATGACATTATGAAAATACCTTGTACGCAACTGAAATGCTACATTTAGAAAAAATTTTAGAAAGACCTTTAAAAGCAAAAATATCTATCTATCCATCAAGGTAGCTTTAATGTTGCACATCGAGCTTATTGATTGGAGTAGTCACTGTTTTTTCAGAGCTACCTTTAACTCCTCAGTATTGCTCAGATGTCATGAACTTGATAAATAGGTTGTTTTCCTGGCATTATAGAGAGTAATGTGGGTAGTTAGTCTCTTGAGTTTCTTGGACTTAACTTTGCACGGGTGCTTTTGTATTATAACTGTGTTAGCACTGGCTTAATCTTCAAAGATACTGTAGAGGTGTGCCATCCTCCTAAAAAAAATGAAGAGGGAGGTGATTACCGCTGACCACATTGTATGTCATAAAGAAGATGTGACGGCGCCTTAACTTTGTTGAACCTGAGATCTTTTTTTTTTTTTTGGCTAGGCAGTGGGGTTAAGTGACTTGCCCAGGGTCACACAGCTAGTAAGTGTTAGATGTCTGAGGCTGGATTTGAACTCAGGTCCTCCTGAAACCAGGGCTGATGCTCTATGCACTGCGCTACCTAACTGCCCCTGGACCTTAGGTCTTGAAGAGACTTAGGTCCACTGTGTCCACCCCACCCTGCTTCTTTTATGGATGAGGAAATTAGACCGGGGAGGGAGATGGATTTGCCCAGGTTTTTGTAGGTAGTAAGCAGGCTCATAAGGTCATGGCTTTAGAGCTGGAAGGGACCTTGGAGGTCATGTAGTCCAGTCCTCTCATATTACAGAAGAGAAACTGAGGCCCAGAGAAGAGAAATGCCATGCTCAAGGTCACGCAGTCCTTGGCAAAGCAAGGCTTGGAATCTAGGCCTTCCGCCTCCAGCTCCAGTACTCTTTCAGTCTTAACTCAGCAATTGGTTTATTAATATAGCTGTCTCTCTCTTTTTTTTGGTGGTGGTGGTGGTTATAATCTTTGTTCTCCACCTTACTTATTTTGCTTGGTGAGTACTGTTTGCTAAAAGGATAAATGTTTATACAGAGTTCATGATGGAATGCTGAGCTTTGCTGGTTCAGATGAGGTGGTAGGCGGACTTCAAACAACAACCACCCTTGTGAATGCCAGTGGTTGAAAGGCACGATTTGTTTTATATTCTCCTGCATGCCTCATTTGTAAATAGTGTCAGTTCTGATTTTCTAACTAGTCAAACTTAAGTCTCCTAGGAGAAAAGGAGGATATTTTTTATCATGAAACAAATTTCTCATTTGTTGTCATGGAATGAATGAATGCAATAAAATGCCTGAGCCCCTATTTCTGGCATCTTTATTCATTGACTTGCTTGTAACCTTGAGAAAATCAGCTAACCCTTTTACAAGTTTCTTTGTCTCTAAGATGGAAATGATAATACTGACATTGGGTTTCTTTCTTTCTTTTTTTCTCTTTCTATTTGTAAGTGCTTTTCAGGGCTCTTTGGAAAAGTTATTTAAAAACATTATGTGTGTTATTTTTGTGGCCTCATAAATAGCCTTCATTCCAGTTATCAACCATTTAGCATTTTTGAATTGTAAATAGATAATATTCTTATCTCACATTGTTTCCAACAATTTACGCAGCCTTTTTTTCCCCCAAGGGAAAAACTAATGTTTTAGCAAAAAGTGCTTATTTTGAAAGTTAGAATGCAGGGTCAACATTTCTGTGCCTTCACACATTCTGATTAGCACGTCACCCACCCCTGTCCCTGTGGGATTTTGCAACTCAATTCATAGATAGGATCAGCTTTGTAGTTTTAGTTAGGGATAGCAAACTGGTAACATTTAAATCTTGACTGCGATCATGGGGGAAATGCTTTGAGAATACAGAAAAGGAAGAAGCTTGTGTGGAAATAAATTTCACTTCTATTACCTCTCACGTGCTTGCTTTCCTTTTCCTGTAGTACGGTGACTATGACCCCTCTGTCCACAAGCGTGGCTTTTTGGCTCAGGAGGAGCTGCTTCCAAAAAGGGTAAGGAACAATACCGGGTTTGGAGGGGCCTCTTTGGGAAGCCTCGCAGACCCACATTCTGAAGAAAGCAAGCCAGAGTTCTAGAAGGACCTTGGGAAGTGTGAGTTTTTAGGCATTCTGAACCAGTCCGGAGCACAGAACTTTGAGAATTAGGAAGGTTACATTTGCCGCCCACTGGTCAGTTGCTTCCAACAGGTTTTTCATGTTGATTTGGGGATAAAGGGGGTGTCTTAGTCAGTGAGTATTGCTCGAAATAGCAGTTGAGGCAACCACAATTTTGAAGTTATTCAAGTGGATTCAGGATTAAGCTGTGAGAAGTTTAGATAAGACAAAGTGGAGGGAGGGAAGAATGGTTTTTGAGAGTAATACTTCTATGTTGCCCCTTCAATTCACGGACAGCACAGTCATGTTTTGCTGCATCATGTGTAGTGGGTCTGCTCAGTCTGCATTGCTTAATAAGTACCTAAATGTCATTTCCTGTGGCCTTCACCTGTGCATTTGGTGTTTTCCACCAATGTTGAACAGATGAAGCCAACGCTGCGTGCACGTGATTGAAATAAATCACACGTCTGGTCAGGCTTTTGATTGGTGGTGATCCTTTTGGAGACCTGGTCACCAGGAATTTCTTCTCCAACATTAGTTCATCTGTGATTTCATTCTCATGGAGGACTTGCTTCATGAATGTAGATTGCACTTCCTTCTTACCTTAATAGACAATTTGATGAGTTGTGACCAAAGGGAAAAAAATCATCTTGTGACAACCCAGTAATGACCTTTTTGAACTTAGCTTATTTCTGGAATGACAGATACAGAGTCAATACTTCAAGCCTTCCTGGCTTGATAGAACCTGCCAGAGCTTGCCCACCATGGATCACCTTTGAGAATCTTGGCACTCCCTCCATGCTCCATGGAGACACTGGAGCAGGCATTTTGTAGGGGAGCTCAGTTGAAAGGATCTTTCTACTATTATGGTGGTGTGCATATGTGTACATATATGTGTTTGCTTTTTTCTAGGTAATAAATCTGTATCAGATGACACAGGAGATGTGGGAGGAGAGAATTACCTCCTGGTATGCAGAGCATCGAGGGAGAGCAAGGTGAGCCCTCCAAAGGCACCAATGTGATGGATTTCTCCACTGGTCATTTGGACACTGCTAGTTTCCCTGTTCCATGAGTAAATAGGATCTGAGCCAGCCTTTCTGGGCTGTAAATAACTTTTCTTATGAAGGCTTCTACATTGGACACAGGTAACACTAGGTACTGAGCTACATAGATGGAGCTCAGGATGTTTAGTTGTGAGTGGAGCCACGCATCCGGCAGGGCAGCCAGCCGTAGCTGGCTTTCTCTTTGTCACTCTTTTGGGTGTTTAACCTGGCTCCTTGAAGGAAAGAAGCAGCTTGTGAAACATGAATTGGAGTCTGGAGTGAGGGTCATCAGACTGAAGCGCATGGTAATGTTTTCTTGTGGCTGCTTGTACTCAGATAAGGGCCAGTGAGTCTGAGTTAGTTAAGACAATGGCATGCTTGATTTGGGATGAAGCGTGAATTCTAAAGTCCTGGGCTTCTCCCACTAAACCTAGGGTAAATAGGTAGAAAGTACCTGGGAGGCAGATTTCAATTTCCTGTAACTTCATGAAGAGCTTCCTATGGCTAATTTGGCCCAAGACCTTGACAAATGTTGAGTTCCTTGTGACCTACCCATCAGGGCACTTGTAGAGAAGATTTGTATTTCAGTGGATAGTTGAATTAGACATTCTCTGAGGTCCCACCTGATTCTAAGAGAGTGTGACTATTTCCCTACTTTTGATGAGAGTATGAAGGCTTTCTGCATCAGCCCAAAGTTCTTCTGAGACCTTGCCTTTCTCAGTGACTCCTGGCAGAATCATCCTTTCCCCTTCTCACTTAGCAGCTGTCACATCACTTTTCATTGTCCTCACAGAGATGAAGCTGAAATGGAATATTTGAAGATTGCTCAGGACTTGGAGATGTATGGTGTGAACTACTTTGCAATCCGGGTGAGTTAATGCCTTATCTCCTTATTTGTGCCCAATAATTCAATCCAATCAACATTTATTAAGCTCTTGTGACTTGGCAGGCAATGCACTAAGCATCGGGGAAACAATTTATAAAAAGAAGAAATGGTCCCTGCTCTCAAGTTGCTCATAATCTAAAGAGGGAGACAGCACACCACAGGAATTAGGAGGAGGGGTAGCCAGCCAGGGTCATCTCGTTCTGTGAAACCAGGCAGGGAAACAGAAACAGAGTAGAAGAGCTGAGAGGCTAGCCTCTGTTCTCTATAAAGGAAGGCACAGAGAGGAGTTTAGTGCTCTACCCTGCCGGGAAAGGACACTGGGGGAGGTGGTGCCTCAAGGCTTGAGTTAGCATCGTGGTGGTGGGTTTAGAAGTGATGAGCTCATCCTGGGAGGGTGATGAGACTAGAGGCTGACTGCTCAAGCATTCTAGGCAGCTGCTAGTACTGTCTGGGCAGGCTGTGGGGTCAGTGGGAATAGACAGAGGACGGAGGGAAAGGGAAAGGGCAGCATGAAAAAGCCTGAAGCTTGGCACAATGACTCCCCACCCCCAGGTGAGCAGAGCCCAAGCCGAGAAATAGGCTGGACCAGTGAGCCAAAAAAAAAAAGAACTTCACCATAAAAAGCTGTTACGGTAGCAGGGAAGAAGACGGCAATGTGAAAGCATTTATAGCCAAAGCCTTAAAGAAAAAAAATGGTATTTGGACCCAAGCCCAACAGGAATTCCTGGAGGAGTGAAAGAAAATTGTTAAGAGTGGCAGAAGAAAAATTGGGAAAAGAAATAAGAACGATGCAAGAAAATTAACATCTTGGTAAACAAGACACAAAAAAAGTACTGAAGAAAACACCTTAAAAAACAGAATTGGCCTAATGGTAAAAGAGGCGCAGAAATTCACTGAAAGAAAGAATTCCTTAAAAATTAGGAAACGAAGAGCTTTTATAATAGAGGAGAAAATGGGGTAGCAGGTGGTGCTTGAATGTCATTCTCTTGGGGTTGATTCAAACAAGGAACACACACACACACACACACACACACACACACACACACACAGAGTTGGGTATGGAAATCTATCCTACCCAATAGAGAGATGGGAGAGGAAGGACATGAGAGATCATGGGAGGGGGGAGCAAGAAAAGGGAGGACAGATTAAGGGAGACTGGTCAGAAGCCAAATAGACTTTTGAAGAGAGACGGGATAAAGGGGAGACAGTAAAGTGGAAGAAAGCGCACAATAATCTCAGCTGTGAACGGGATGAGCTTGCCCCGAAGTGGAGGCAGACAGCAGGAGAGGTGAGAAGCCAGAGCCCAGCAGCGCGCTGTCTAGAGCAGACTCACTTGGAACAGAAAGACACACACAGAGTTAGAATAAAGGGCTGGAGCAGAATCTGTTATGCTCCAGCTGAAGAAAAAAAAAAAAGGCAGGGGTAGCAATCAGGATCTCAGGCAAAACAAAAGACAAAATAGACTTCATTATCAGAGAGAATCAGGGAAACTACATTTTGCTAAAAGAAGCAGTATCAAAATATTTTACAAGAGGTTTCTCCGGTAAGGGCCTCATTTCTCAGATATATATTGAGTATAGGACTAAGTCAGATTTGTAAAAATAAGAGCCATTTCCCAACTGATAAATGGTCAGATGAATAAGCAGTTTTCAGAAGAAGAACTCTTCTGAAGCTATCTGTAGTTATATGAAAAAGCTCTAAATCATTATTGATTTTTGTTGTTGTTCAGTTGTTTAAGTCATGTCCTATTCTTCATGACCCCATTTGTAGTTTTCTTGGCAAAAATACTGGAGTGGTTTGCCAGTTTCTTCTCCAACTCGTTTTACACATGAGGAAACTGAGGCAAACGCAGTTAAGTGACTTACCCAGGGTCACGCAGCTAGTAAGTATCTGAGGCCAGATTTGAGCTCATGAAGGTGAGTCTTCCTGACTCCAGGCCTGGCACTTTATCCACTGTGCGACATAGCTGAGGGAAAATAGGTACACTAATACACTGTTGGTGGAATTGTAAACTGGTCCGTCAACCAAGGACAGTTTGGAGTTATGTCCAAAAGGCTATGCATACTCTTTCACCCGGCAATACCACTATTAGGTCTGTATCCCAAGGAGATCAGAGAAAAAGGAAAGAGACCTATATGTACAAAAATATTTATGGCAACTCTTTTTGTGGTGGCAAAGAATTGGAAATTGAGGGGATGCCCATCAGTTGGGGAATGGCTGAACAAGTTGTGGCCTATGATTGTGATGGAGTACTATTGTGCTATAAGAAATGACAAGGAAGGTAGTTTTAGAAAAACATGGCAAGACCTGTATGAACTGATGCAAAGTGAAGTGAGAAGTACTGGGAGATCATTGTGCATAGTAACAGCAATGTTGTAATGGTGATCAACTGTGAAAGACTTGTTACTCTGATCAGTGCAGTGATCCAAGACAGTTCCAAAGGACTCATGATGAAAAATGCTTTCCACCTCTGGAGAGAGAACTGATGAGCTCTGAGTGCAAAATTGAAGTATGATTTTCTCACTTTATTTTTTTCTTCTGTACAGCTAATATGGATTTATGTTCTTCATGATTTCACGTGTATAATTGGTATCATTTTGCTTGCTTTCTCAGTGGGTGGGGGGAAGGGAGAGAATTTGGAACTTAAAATTTAAAAATAAAAGAATGCCCAAAATAAATAAATAATAGGTTTTTGGTTTTTTAAAGAGACCATTTTGCTTCTGACCATTACCTCCCTTAGTCCACCCTCCCTTTTATCACCCCTCCACCTCTTTCTCTTATCCCCTTTCCCTCCTACTTTCCTGTTGGGTAAGATAGATTTCTGTACCCAATTAAGTGTGCATCTGTAGTCTTCTCTTTGAAACTAATTTCAATGAGAATGAGGTTCAGGTGTTGCCTGCTGCCCCCTGCCCCATTTTCTCCTCCACTATAAATTTAAGCTCTTCCTTGTGCACCTTTTTTATGTGAGATAATTTCTCCCATTCTACCTCTCCCTTCCTCCTCCTCCTTTTTTTTTTTTTTTTTGAGATCATCCCAACATGGTCAGCTCACACCCATGCCCTCTGTCTATGCAGACTCCTTCTAACTGTCCCCATAATGATAAAGTTCTTAGGAATTATATGTATCATCTTCCCATTTAGGAATGGAAACAGTTAAATCTTGTGTCCCTTATGATTTCTTTTTCATGTTTTACCTTTTTAATGCTTCTGTTGAGTCTTGTGTTTGAAAATTAAATTTTCTGTTCAGCTCTGGTCTTTTCTTCAGGAGTGCTTGAAAATCCTCTATTTTGTTAAATATCAGTTTTTTTCCCCTAATAGATTATACTGTTTGGGTGGGTAGGTTATTCTTGGTTGTAATCTTAGTTCCTTTGCCTTGTGGAATATCATATTCCAAGCCCTTTGCTCCATTAACATGGAAGCTGCTAAATCTTGTGTGATCCTGATTGTGGCTCTACAGTATTTGAACTGTTTTCTTTCTGACTTGCTATACTTTTTTCTCTTTGAGCTGAGAGCTCTATAATTTGGCTATAATATTCCTGGGAGTTTTCATTTTAGGATCTCTTTCAGGAGATGATTGGTGGATTCTTTCAATTTCTATTTCACCCTCTGGATCTAAGATATTGGGGCAGTTTTCCTTGATAATTTCTTGAAATATGGTGTCTAGGCTCTTTCTGTTTTTTTATCATGGTTTTCAGGTAGTCCAATAATTATTAAATTATTTCTGCTTGATCTATTTTCCAGGTCAGTTGTTTTTCCAATGACATATTTCTCATTTTCTTCTATCTTTTTCATTCTTTTGACTTTGTTTTATTGTTTATTGATGTCTCATGGAGAAAATAGGTTCCACTTGCCAATTCTAATTTTTAAGGAATTCTTGTATTCGGTGAGTTTTTGTGTCTCTTTTAGCATTAAGCATTAAGCATTAAGGTGTTTTTTCCTTGGTATTTTTTGTACCTCTTCTACCAAGTTCTCTTTTCATAATTTTCTTGCATCACTCATTTATTTTCCCAATTTTTCCTCTACCAGTTGTATAACTTTCTTTAATTCTTCCAGGAATTCTTGTTAGGCTTGGGTTTTCTTTGAGGCTTTTATTATAGCTGTTTTTGTGTTATTGTCTTCTTCTGAGTTTGTGTCTTGGTCTTCCCTGCCACCGTAATAGCTTTTATATGATCAAGTTTCTTTTTCTTTTTTTTTTTTTCTCATTGTTCCAGCCCATTTCTTGTCTTTGAATTTTACATTACAGTTGGGCTCTGCTCACCTCGGAGTGGTGAGGCTCTGTGCTAAGCTTCTAACTTTTTCATGCAGCTGTTTTCCAAGCTACTTCTGGGAGGTCTATAGTTTTCAGTGTTTCCACAGTGGTATTATCCTGGGAGAGGTGTGGTCACTGCTGTCCTGGTCTGGACTCTGGTCTTTACCCAGGAAGGGTACCACTTCTCCTGCAGCTACAAGTGCTAGTGCTCCTCTTGGCCTTGAAACTGTGACCAGGGCCCCTGCTTCCTTGTGAGTGACCACAGGCATTCCTCTCTGCTCTGGAACTGTGACCCAGGCCCCTGCTTCCTTGTGACTAACCACAGATGCCCCTGTCCTCCCTGGACTGAGACTCAGAGCTGCATGTGGTCAGTAGAATTGCCAAATTCTACAGGTCCTGCCCCCAGTGCCCTCAGAGTGTTTGCTTTCATCTTTTTCTGACCAGTTGCACAGCCCCCTTACCATCTCTGGGCTGAGAGTTCTGGAAGGCTGCTGTTGCTGCCACTGCCTCCAAGGCCCTCGACTGGAATTGTTGCCACATGCGCTCTAGGTTGGCCCCCATCCCTGTGTCACAGACCTCTGCTCCCACCTCCTAAATTATCTTAGGCTGGAAAATGGTTCACCTGGACCTTTTGTTTGACTCTGCTGCTCCAGAATTCAATTCGGGGCATTTTTCTAAAGTTGTTTTTTTTTTTTTTTTTTTTTTTTTGGCCAGGGAATGTTGGGAGAGTTTGGCTGGGTTGCTGCACTACTACACCATCTTGGCCCTGACCCCCCCCCCCCCCATTACTCTAAATATTTTATTTTTTTCCAATTACATGTAAAAATGTTTAACATTAGTTTTTTTAAAATTTGAATTCCAAATTCTCTCTCTCCCTCCACTCCTTCCTTGTTGTGAAGGCAAGCAGTTTGATATAGGTTATACATGTACAGTCATGCAAAACATATTTCCATATTAGTCATGTTGTGAAAAAAGACATAATCCTCCATCCCCACCCCCCCCAAAAGAAAAAAAGAAATTTTAAAAAATATGCTTTGATCCACTTTCAGACTCCATCAGTTCTTTATCTGGAAGTGGATAGCATTTTTCATTATGAGTGCTTTGGAACTGTCTTCGATCATTGTATTGCTGAGAATAGCTAAGTCATTCACAGTTCTTCATCAAACGATGTTGCTGTTACTGTGTTCACTGTTCCACTGATTCTGCTCACTTCATGTTGCATCAGTTCATGTAAGTCTTTCCAGGTTTTCCTACTATTATTTTTTAAAACCTTAATGGCTATATGGTACAAAAAGAGGAATATAGTCTTTCTTGTTTTACTTAAAATCAACTGCAGCTATAAAAAATTGTGCAAAAGTGCCACTTACATTTATTGTTTAAAGTGCTTTATGGTCAGAGAGGGGAATTACGAACCTTGGGCTCTTAGCACATACCTGCTGTCACAATGTTATAAGAAGAGAAGAATATTCATCTTTGTGTAATAGATGGATCATGATAACTGCTCATACTCATTTGGGCCTTTACATATGTTACTTGAGCCTCAAAATACCTCTGGAAGTAGCTGAAGCAAGTGTCACTATCCTGACTTTACAAATGAGGAAACTGAGGACCAGTGACTTAACACGAGGTCTCATAGCTAGTGATTGTCTGAATTGGGACTAAATCACAGGTCCTCTGATTAAGCCCAGTTCCGTTTCCACTCTATCCTGCTTCCCTTCTTTCGAGTTGCTGTACCTTCTGAATAACTGCCTATGTTCATATGCTCTTTACTCTGAGTTAGATTTTTCTGTCATTGGTAAGTGGGTTAGTGGAGTGGTGTACCTTCCCTTGCTTCCTCTCAATGTAAACATCTTCTGCTGTAGAGAAGGATTGTTGGGCTGTGGCATGAGCACCATCTTAGATTTGGAAGGGAGTTCATATTGGGTTGGATTGAGAATTTTCTATGTCCATTCTGACTTCTAAGTACTAGAGCTTGTCAGGTATATATTTACCTGTTTTAAAATTAAATCGCTCAGGCTCTAGTTACAGTTCACCCTTTCTTCCCCCTTCCCCCAGGTAAGGATAACTTTATTTACTCTTTAGGTTTTTATTCTATATCACTGATAGTGTGGTTGTTTAATTACAATATGAGTTTTTAGCAGTGAACTTCATGTTACTTTAGTGTTGGTTTTTAAATTCTCACTTTAAAATTTTTTTTAAGTTTAATTTTAAAACATTAACAAAAATTCTGTTTTCTTTCCCTCCCTTTGCTTGCCCCTCCATTGAAAAAGAGACAGAAAACTCTACACTGTGTCCAAAAAATATTTGTCTTGGTCTGTGTCCTGAATCCATCACTTCTCTGCTAGGAGAGACTGAATGCTTTATCATGGGGTCATCTGACATGGTGGTTGGTCATTAAAGTGATCAGAGTTTTTAAGTCTTTCAAAGTTGTTTGTCTTTATAGTGTTGGTATAAAACTCCTGGTTCTGTTTACTTCACTCTAAATCAGTTCAGACAAGTCTTCCCATGTTTCTTAGAAACTGTCCCCTTCATCATTTCTTAGAGTACAATAGAATTCCATTACATATTTATGGACCATAATTTCTTCAGCTCTTCTACAATTGATGAGTACGCCTTTAGCTGGTATAAAAAGAATTGCTACAAGTTTTTTTTATATGTAGGTCCTCTTCCTTTTTGTTTGATCTCATTGGGTCATAGATTGAGTAGTGGTATCACCGGGTCAAAGGGTATGCACAATTTAGTAATTCTTTGGATATAGTTAGTACAGAACAGCTATACCAATTCATGGTTCCACCAGTAGTGCATTAATGTACCTGCTCTCCTATGGCCCCTCCAGCATTTGTCAACCTTTTCAGTCTGATAAGTTTAAGCTAAGACTTAAAGAGTTTGTATTTTTCTAATTATTAGTGATTTGAAGCATTTTTCCATATGACCATACAGACTTTGGATATCTTCCCTTGAGAAATACCTGTTCATGTCCTTTGACCATTTATTTATGCTGGGGAATGGCTCTTATCTTGTCAATTTTGATAATTTTCTTCGAAAGGTCTGTCTGTATGTCTTGGAAGCGATGAAGCCCTTAAACTAACAGAAAAACTTGCTGCAAAGATTTTTTTCCACCTAGTACTCATTTCCCTTCTGATGTTGGATGCATTGGTTTTGTTTGTTCAAAAACTTTTAAATTTTGTGTAATCAGATTTATGATTTTGTGATTCTGTGATTCTCTCTATTGTTTGTTTGGTCGTGAACTCTTCCCTTATCCACAGATCAGACAGCTCATTTTTCCCTTACTCTCCTAATTTGGTTGATATTAACCTTTATGTCTAAGGCATGTGGTGTGAGACACTGGTCTCTGTACCTAGTTTCTGCCAGACTCCTTTCCCGTTTTCTCAGCAGTTTGTCCTATAGTGAGTTCTTAGCTTCTTAGCTTAGGTCTTTGGGTTTATTTTAAATTTCTTTTGATGTAAATAAATTAACAGCTCTTAGATGCATCTCCATTCTTTAGCCTGTGTATATTCTTTGAGCTAGCGTGACTCTCCTAGGGTACAAAGGTGTCACATAATAGCACATTTCACAGTGGTATTTTGATGATAATAATACTAGTGAACATTTCTGTAGTGCTTTGATGTTTGCAAAACATAATACATGTTTTTTTCTTGGCTTCCCATTGTGCTTCCTCCAAGAAGTTATGACCTCTCTGGGTTAACCAATTATTGCATCTTCAGCTGGAACCAGTTGAAATTCGCCAAATGTAACAGTTTGTACAGATCTTTTAAAATGTGAATAAAATCTTTTGATTGTGTTGAAACTGACAGTGGCTCTTCTTTATTTGATGTGCAGAATAAAAAGGGTACAGAGCTGCTGCTTGGAGTGGATGCTCTGGGCCTCCACATATACGACCCTGAAAACAGACTGACCCCCAAAATCTCCTTCCCTTGGAATGAAATCCGGAACATCTCTTACAGCGACAAAGAGGTAGGGGGGGAACATCCTGTGGTACCAGGGACTACACAGAACGTTCTCCTTTGTCTGGCCTGCTGGAAGCGTCATGACACAGATGCTCCCTTTAGTGCAGAATTCCTCAGTTCTGGAGCAGTGGCTGCTGGTTGTTGAAGCCTCTGCTTCTTTTTTCAAAGAGAATCTCCAAGCCCCGCTGCTTAGCAGGCAAGAAGCTTAACCTGGAAGGGCTAGGTATACCATTGAATACGACAAAAAGTGAACATTTCTGACTAGTTGATGGTTTCTGAGCCTGGTTAGAAAGGCTTTTTGGATTTCAGGGCTGGCTAGTCAGGCGAGAGCTAGATCTTAACACATGCTCTGGGGTCTAACATGATAATAGTAGCTCACTGTGCTGTCCTGGAAAGAAGGTCAGGCGTGGAGTCAGGAAGACTTGTGCTTGCAGCAAGTGTAGACACTTACAGGCTGTGTGACTCTGAGCAAGTCATTTACCCTTTCGGAGTCTAAGTTTCCTCATTTGTAAAATAGGGATCAAAATGTACTTGCAATAGCGACTTTCCCGGGTTGTTCTGAGGGAAATACTTTGTTGCCTTAAAGCATTACAAAAAGGTGAATGATTCTTTTCTAGTGTTTTTCCTGTAACAACCCTGTGAGGTGGGTTGTTCAAGGATCACCATTTCTATTTTTACGAATGAGGAAACTGGGGAGCGAGCATGTTGAGAGTCATGTCCACAGTGGTGTAGGTCAGACACGTGGCCCACAGGCTGCACGTGGACCACAGCACTCTTGAATGCAACCTGAACCACATTAAAATGTAATGGGGAAATATTAACAAAATAAATAAATATACAACAGGGATCCTCAAGATGGCTTAGTGGGCCCTGTTTCTGTTTGAGTCGGACCCCGCTGGTGTAGATGACCCGTATAAGAATTAGAGGTGGAACGTACATCCGGCACTTGGAGCCAGCAGACGTGGCTGGGTTTGAATCCTGCCTCGGACACCTTCTAGTTCTTTGTCCATGGGCTAGTTATGTCAACCCACAGTTTTCTCATCTCTAAAATGGTGTAATAATGCTTGCGCTCTTGATCGCATGGGATTGTAGACACTAATTGTTCTTCAGTCATACAGTTGTGTCCGACTCTTTGTGACTCCGTGGACCAACTGCCCATGAGATTTTCTTGGCAAAGATACTGGAGTAGATCGCCATGTCCTTCTTAAGTTTTGTTCAAGTAGAGGTTAAGTGACTTGCCCAGGGCCATACAGCTAGTCAATGTCTGAGAATCATATTTGAACTTGGGTCTTTCTGATCCAGGCCCAGCGATCAATCCACTGAGCCTCTAGCTTCCCTCTTGTAAATATTAAAGCACTCTGCAAATATGAGCTGTTATCATTATAATCAAGCAGATTTTGTCCTCTTGAAACTTATAAACTAATAATGAAGAAAAAACTAGCATGCCCTAAGCAGTTAGCACATAATTAAGTTTTAATAACAGAGATGTATGGTCTCAGAATTTAAATCTCTTCCTGCGGGATGATGACCCAAATTTCTCAACCATTGTAATTCATTCAACAAATATTTATTAAAAATGTTCTCTGATAATAACTGACAAAGCGTTACGGAAAGTCTTCGATTTAACAGACTTTCATTAATATCTGAGGCATCATCTTAGACAAAAGAAGATAGTCTCTACCCTCAAAGACCTTACAGTGTAATAGAGAAGACAAGAGGCCCACCTGGGCTGCCATTGGGAGTGGATGAGTGCTGAGCACAAGGCGAAGTCCCTGCCCCGATGGCTGCCCTGGCATTGTGGGCCTCTGTGTCTAGGGGGCGGGGGTGGGGGTTGTTCGTATGAGCCGAAGGGAAAGAGGCCTAGACCTCTGCTATTTGGTTCCGCCAGACTGTGTTGGTGTCAGACAAATTGAACATTGTAGTTGATTTTGAAAGTGTTGGAGAGGTAGGAGACCCCAGGATGGGCTTTTAGGTGTTTCCTTCTAAAAGCCCTTCAATTGAAAACCCACATTACTGAAGCATTTGGTTTACCCCAGTATGATAACTCTTCATAAAAATGTTGACTGTGCAGCCTGGGGTTGGAGCACTAAAAGCTTCCCAAACCATCGTCCTTCAGAGAACCCAAGGATTAAAGTCTCTGCTAGTGAGGCCTGACACCATAAACTCTAATAGAGCTTCTCCAGGGGAATGGAGCCATCGTGTTCCATCATGTCCACAATCCACATAATAAGACAACCCCAAGCTGACTTGACATGGTGGTAAGTTAGTTGTCTTCCTAGTTCTGGATGCGTGACAGCCAAGCTGTCAGAACAGAAAGGTTTCGTTTATTCTAAGTGATCCATTGATCCCGGGAATGTTCTCTGGTGCTGAGACTGTGGTTTTCTCCACTATTTGTGGTTTCCCACTGACAGCTCTCAAGTTAAATAGCCAGAAGAGCTCAAGAAATGCTCCTCTAAAGCTGACTGGGGCATGAGGGAACTTTGCCCAGGCGATTGAAGGATTCCGGGCATTTTTTAGCTTGCCCGGCTCTGCTAACCTCTTGTCAACAACATGTGAAAGAAAACTTTTTGCCACTCGGAGGACTTGCTCTCTGCATTCTGTGTGTGTGTGTGTGTGTGTGTGGTTTAAAAGGCATCCCTGAAATACTGGATCAGCCTGAGTGAACCTCTGCAGACTGTCCTAGAGGGCTCTGACTGCTGGGGCCCTGGGCCGGCAGGGAGGAGGCTGCACACTCCGCCTGCAGGAGCTCCCGGGTCCTTGCTCAGCGGGCCTGTTGCAGTTCCAGTTAAGTTTATAAGGCGCTTTTCTTATGAACAGCCCTTTGAGTTGAGTGGCATGATCTTCATTGTCCAGATTTTATTGCTGAAGCAAAGGCACAGACCTGGGAAGTGCCAAAGTTACCAACCTGGGCCCTCGTGGAAGGAATCCCAGGCTTTGGAATGATCCGTTGAGCCATCCTGCTGCCTCTTCCATGTAAAACATATGCCCAGATGACCTTGGCACAAGGCATGCCCAATGTGGGGAGTGCCGCCTAGGGGGCTGGCAGGGAGATTCCTGAGGAAGGTAGAGATCCATTTCAGCTGTGGCCAGGGGGCAGGAAAGACTTCCTGAAGGAGGCAGACTTGGAAGGTCTTCCTGACTGAGACCTTGAAGAAAGGGCAGCAAAGATGACTTGGAGAGCCCATTCCAGCACATGGGCCTTCCTCAGAGTAGAGGCATAATAAATGCTTTTGGAATGGAATTGAGGCATGGGCGAATAAACAGTGTGAGCGGAGGGAGAGACAACCCAGGAGAGTGCAGGAGGTGAGCTGAGAACACAGACTAGCGAACGGCTTCCCAACGGGGCAGGACAGGGCACATAGACTGTAGTCAGAAGGGAAAGCCAGCCTCAGATCATGGAGAGCCTGATGGCCAGGCCGAGAGCAGATGCATTCAATAGTCTAAAGCCCCGTAGCGGTCTCATTCCCTAGGACTGCTGCACGCACAGCAAACAGTGTGGAGGAGACCTTGGAGAGAGGCCAGACCGTGGCTGGAGGGATCACTTGGGAGGTGCTTGTCATGGCAAGAGAGAAGTCCTTGACACAGGGTGGTTGCCATGAGAATGGCTGGGATGGGAGAACGTGAATGGAGGAGCTCTTACCGAGGGAGAATGACAGGACTCGGCAGCCGATTGCATTCGGGGGTGGGGCAGGGAGAAGAATGCTGCTGGCATGGATGCTACTGCCATCGGCTGAAATAACACTACTGCAGGAGTGGATTGAGTGTACGCCACCAAGTCAGGAGATCTGCCCTAGAAATTGACTGGCTGTGTGACCCTGGTCAAGTCACTTAACCTCCGTGTAAAATAAAATATCAGTAGCACCTCTCTCAAAGAGTCGATCAGGATCAGATGAGATAATATATCTACGTAAAGACTTTTCTGATCCCCCTGCCCCAGCCCAGCTATTTGTGCCTGACTCCCAGATGATTTTGTATCGGTAGAGGCAGTGAGGGCGGTGCAAAGGGTAGAACATTGGACCTGGAGTCTGGCAGACCCGAATTCAAATGTGGTCTCAGGTTCTTACCGACTGTGTGATTGGGGAAAATCATTTAACCTCTGTCTGCCTCAGTTTCTTTATCTATAAAATGGGTGTATCCTACCTCAGGGATATGGTAAAGATAAAATGATGTGTTCGTAAAGCAATTTGCGAACCTTAAAGAGCTGTGTAAATGCTGATTATCAGAGCTAGCTAAATGACGGTCTCTGCCACACAGTCCCATATTGGTTTCTTCTAGAATATCTCGTACCATTAGTTGTTGCTTTGTGTGTCCTGGACTCAGTTGTCCCGCCTTGGGTGTAAGCCGCCTGGGGGTGGAGAGTGCATTTTCCTCCTTTTCTCAGTTCTTTCCGGTGTCTGGCTCTGAGCCACAGGGTTTGTGGGCTATCTGGCCTGCTCTCAGCTCGGTCTGGCTTCCTTTGATGTCCAAGGGGGCCTTGCCTGGGCAGCCATCACCCTGCCAGCCCATCTGCCAGGTGCCCGCACTTTGCCAGGCCCTCAGATGCCCTGGCTCCCAATTGGCAGCACCTTGAGGAAGGTCCCCCATTCCGATCCCTGATGCATTGAAGGGACCACAGTGACTGCACCCACAGTGGTGGCTGTGCCTGTAGCGGTGACCGGCCCCATAGTGGTGGTTGCACCTGTAGCAGTGACTGTACCCATATAGTGGTGGCTGCGCTGGTAGTGGTGCAGCAGCCCTGATGCTGATCTCCTTCTGGGCGGGCATCATGCAACATTACGCCTTTTCTTCTTTTTGTAGTTCACCATTAAGCCTCTGGACAAGAAGATTGATGTCTTTAAGTTTAACTCCTCAAAGCTTCGTGTTAACAAGCTGGTAAGTGGAGGCCCAGACTTTACCGCTCTGTAACCTAGCTGGAATTTCAGGAAAAAATGAACTCTCTCTTAGAAAGAATCAGAATGTCATCCTCATGAACGGGAGGGACATGCCAAGTAGCGCACAGCTTTTTACGTATCTTTATTTATCCTTGAAAAGTCAGACTTAAACTGTACTGATGTAGAACACGGAACTATATCTGGAAGGAAGGTGAGAGACTTCCTCATTCTGTCCTCCTTCGGTTATGGTTTTCTGCCCACCCACAGCACACCTGTTCCAAATGCATCCTCGTGCAGGCCCAGGAATTGAGAAGCCTGGAAAAGGCTAACCCATTTTCAGTGTCATAGGCCTCAAAGGTCCCCTACATAACCTTTTCTTGGCTCCCTCCTTCCTAGTTTTCACACAGATCAGGTTCTCTTTTTCAAGTTTGCTGACCTTCCAAATGTGGTCATGAGCTGTGGGGTCCGTGAGGTGACCGCGGACAGTGATGCTTCTTGTCTCACTCGGGCAGATTCTGCAGCTGTGCATTGGGAACCATGACCTCTTTATGCGAAGAAGGAAGGCCGACTCATTGGAGGTACAGCAGATGAAAGCTCAAGCCAGAGAGGAGAAGGCCAGGAAGCAGGTGAGTGAGGCCTTCTCGGTGGAGGCATGGCCTGCCTGCCTAGCAGAGCTGTGGGTGGCAGTTGGTTGTTTGTGTCTGGAGCAGGTGATCTCCTGGAACTCCCCAGAGGGGCCCCTGTGGCTGCCCGCAACAGGTAGGCCGGGGCCAGAAGATCAAGTCATGCTGCATAAACGTGTCCAGAGTCATGGCCACTGCACTCTGCATCTGGGCCCCAGCTGGAGAGGAAGTTGGGGTGTGTGAGTGAAGCTGAGGGCGATTGGCAGAAGGCTGGCCTCACTCCTTTGCCCGGCATTCTCCTTCACTAATTAGATAGTGATGGAATGCATGGCGGCATTTTAGAGCTCACCAACAGAATGCTGATCAGGGCCTGGACTTGCTTCTTCACTGCAGGTCAGTCCCGGCACTGGGCACAGCCCATCCCCGGGCAGCAGCATGGAGCCAATGAGTACACCTCAGCAAATTGGACTGTCTGAATCATTGTCTTGTGCTCATGGACCTTTTCCACACAGTGAAACCCACACAACTAATCTGAGCCCTGCTGCTCAGAATACCAGTCACATTTTTGGCCAGACCACTAGATAGCAACAGTGGCAGAAAGCAGCCCGGGACTTGAAAGCTCCCCGGGCTCGTCCTGACCTGGTGTGCTGCCTCACACAGACTGGGGTCCACAGTGGGGGTGGGGGGATAGCGCCCAGTGCTGGCTTTTGAAACGGAGCATCCGTCTTGGTTCTTGTGAGTGTGGGGCATGGCCCTTTAGGAGACTCGGGCATCTTCTGCCTTCCCTTTGTTTTCTGGAACGATGGGAGGGGCAGTGCTCCTGGGGTAGCTCTCAGTGGGGTGATGGGGCAGTGCTTGCTCCAGGTAAGAAATGCAATGACCTTCTGCCAGGGAGGCCCAGTCCAACCTCCCTCCCTGTGGGCAGGGCTCAGGAGCAAGAGGAGATGCCCAGAGGAAGGCAAGGGGAGGCTTCTCGCAGTCACAGTGACCCCACTTCACATAATGTGCTCAGAACAAAGGCCCGAATTGTCAGCGTGTGGAGGAGGGAGTGCCGCTTTGGGGATGGGTGCAGCGAGGATGAGGAGATTGGGAAAACACGTTTTCAAGGTGGAGACTCATGCAAGGTGCCCGCTGCTGGTCCTCAGTCTGCCTGTGGCCAGCAGCGGTGTGATCTTGGGCAAGGCTTCCCCCTTCTCCAGGTCTGTCTGCTTCCCTCTGACATAAGAGGAATGGGTTAGCTCTCCCCTCGGGCAGTTCTCCAAGGGGAGATGAATTTTCCAGGGTGCTCTCGGGCTTGTTTGTAACAGGGAAACTGGGAAAGCCTAAGCACATTGGTTCCTTTTCCGCAGTCTTCCCTTTCCCTTTTTTGCTTAGAGTTTAGGAGGAACACGCAGCTTTAGAATCATATATTAATGTTTTTTAAAAATATGTGTTACTACCTTTTATTTTTACGTCAGATGTGTTTCCAAGTATGCCCTCACCCAGAGAAGTATTCCTTAGAACAAAGAATGAGAGAAGGAGAGGGAGAGGGAAGTCATGAAAAACAGCTCCCAAGCAGAAGGCTCTGAGAGGGCCCCACCAAGGGGAGGGACTTGTGTTCCAGCATCTCCTCTTCATCCAAGATGGACGAGTGTGATTGCACGGCGTTCTGAGAAACCGCATGTCATTACATCTTGGAAATAGATTGAAGTAATAATCCCAACCGTGCCTTTAATGAATAAGGAGAAAAATAGTACAGTCACTTTTCTGGCTTCTGCTCTCTGAAATCAGCCAGGACCCCACGATCACAGTGCTCGTCCCATGCTTATTTCCTTTGTTAGTTTCAGCATGCGGGCCAGTCAGCAGAGTCATTCAGGACGAAGGTGTCTTTCTAGGGGAGCCAGGCGGGTGGTACCTGTGTTCCCGGGCTGCTGCTTCTGGGTCCGTCTGGGTGTGCACGGCACTGCTGGGTTCCCAGGATGCCCAGGGAGGTGCTGACTCCTGGGTCTTCAGATGAGGCAGGCCAGGGAGCTCTTCTCCTTGACTAAACCAGAGATGTCAGGGCCTCGGTGGTGTCTGTTCCATCTGTAGTACTGGCTGTGTAGGAGAAGAGCAGGGAAGAAGCAGGCCCTCTGTCCTGGGGCATTGCAGGTAGTAGCATCTTCACAAGGTGTGTGTTGTAGGGAGCAGGGTCATAGCGCACCTCTCTGCTGCTGCAGGGGTCAGGGAACCTGGTTTGGCTCTGGCTTCTCCTCACTCCCCTTGTGGCCTTGGACAAATGACATGGCTCTTTCTGTTCCTCAGTTTACTTATCCATAAAAAAGTTATGATGGTATTTGTGCCCTCCTCTCTCACAGGGTTGGCGTAAGGACAAAATAAATGCACGTGATGAGGCAGGGGCCTGAATTCCGTCATTTCATTGGTAGCTGCCATCTTGTCGGGAGCATGTGGTCCTCCCTTGTTAATGTGTTAATGTGTTTGGCACCTTAGAGTCATGGCGTGTTGCTGGGGCCGCTGAGCTATTGGATGACTGGCCCAGAGCCCCACAGGTAGACGATATGTTTGCAGAAGCGGGACCATAACCACCGGGTCTTCTGGATTTCAAGGATAGCACCCTGTCACTGCCTGTCTCTGTGTCTTTCCCTCTCTCTGTCTCTCCCCTTGTGTCCTTCCCTCCTTCTATCCTCTCCCCCCGTTTCTTCCTCTCTCCCTCTCTGTCTTTGTCTCTCTCTGTCTCTGTCTGCTTCTTACTATAAATTCTGCTGTGTGTCAGTGTGGCGCTGACTTGTGATTTCTGAAGTGGCAGAACTCCTTGCACCAGTGCAGATTTCTCTCTCCCTTACCCTATTTGACGGTAGTCAGAAGCTTGGAGAGCCCGTGAAGGGCCGTAGGCCATGGTGGAGGCTGTGCCTCCCACAGGCCCGGGCTGCTTGCTGAGTGGCTTCTGCTGCAAAGCTCAGCCCTGAGGCGTTCCTTCTCACATTATACTGCATCCATGTATTTTAAATTACAGTGCAACTCTACACTGCTATTGTGGTCTATTTATTAGTGTAAACCTTGGGTGTTTTGCATAATCATAATCTGTAACTCAGAAAAGTTATAGCCTCTCTCAGAGATGACAAAGCCCATAGATGTCTCCAGAGTACAGGAACCAGATTAAAATGAAATTGGGAAATATTTAACAGAACAAATAAAAATGCACTGCAATGTCTTCTGAGTCACCTAAGCACCAAGATGGTGGACTAGAGATTTTCTCTGATCCCCATGACCTCTTAAGCCTCTCCAAAGCAGCAATTATATGCCAGAGATAAAACAACTTCACCTGTTCCTATGGTCTAGGGCAAGGTTAAAAAAAAAAAATCCTCCAAAACCCATGAACTGATTGATGCCCACTGACTTTGAGCTCATTCAGCACTCCTTCCCCACCTCCCACTAACAACAAGGCTACACTAGCAGACCCAAGGACATAACACAGGCCTATATCAAAACCCACCCTTATACCCTGGTCCCCCTCCCTCTTTCTAGTTCCACAAAGATCCTGGCTCCAAGCTATGGAAGTTTCATTGGGCCTTATAGCCAGCTTGGCCATAGCCCTTCAGAGCCAGGGGCCCTGCCAGGGGCTGCAGTATGGAAGCACCAATGCTGGGGAAAGCAAGATCTGCTGGTGCTGGGCCAGAAACCTAAGGAACGGAGGGAGCAGAACAAGTAACCAAGACAGGACACTGTGCATGTTGGGGCTATCCAGTAATCCACTAAGGCTGAGGGAAGGAGCCCAGCATCCAGCTGAGGCCAGTTCTGACCACCCAGAAGTCACTAGCAGAGGCCTAGGCTGGTGAACTGTGAATTGTCCAATGTGGGAGGAGGCTGAGACATTTTGACATCCAGCCCTGAGGAAACCACAATCAGAGGGGAAGGAGTCAGGAAGTGAATGATGGGGAAAATAAGGGAAAAAAGACTGAAATTACCAAATGTCTCAGGAAGAAGTAAATTCAAATTCCTTGAACATAAACAGATAAATCAACAGGAAAAACAGTAACAAAAGGAAATATGGCATCTAGATCTAGTAAATGATTCCAGGCATCTATAAATAAATACTACATACACACACACACACACCAAAAAAAAAAAAAAAAGGGAAAATGATCCCACACTTGATTAGACAGAAGACCCTGTGGAATTTAAGAACATGGAACCACAACACATTGTTTCTGTCCAGTTAAAAAGAAAAATGAGAATTATGAAAGCAGAATTTATGGCCTGCACATACACACACATATACATACATACAAAATGGGCAGAATTGAAAAACTTGAATCTGCAATGGCAAGCCTCTCCAAAGAAACTGAAGAGAGAACACTAGACTGGGAATGTAAATCCTCAGAAGTGAAGCAAAGAAAAGAAGCAAAAAACAAGAACATTAAAGAAAATGTACTCATTATACAAGCACAACACACATAACTTGAAGACCTACAAATCTGAGCTTAACCACACAGGCAAAATTCAGTAAAAAGAAGAATTTGAAACATTTTTGGAAAGAGAATCAGAACTAAAGAGGTTATGTGCTTCTCAGACACCCCAAACAACAGGAATGCAGGCGGGATGAATAAATGCAGTGAAGAGGCCAATAGGAATTATGGAAAGAACCCAGCAACACCCTGCCTACAGGTGAAGCAATGTGGTTGGTTTCGTTTTTTTGTTTTTTGTGAGACCCCATTATAACTTAGGAGGGTTCATGATGGGAGCAGTGGGAAGTGATGCAGCAGTGTCCAGTCACGGGCTAACAGTAAGGGGAAGTTGACCTCTGGGGTCTCAGAAAGAGAAGAGCCCACAGGGGAGTGAGTGGGGAGGGGGGAACACTTGGAAAGGAGGGGAAGAGGAAGGGAGCCCTACTTTGAAGGTGGGCGGGGTTCCACCGATGAATGTTCTTATGAATGAAGAGAGGTGGGCAGTGAAGGGAGATGAGGACCCTACACTGAGTAAAGTCTGGAGATTTGGTGCTTGAAAAGTCTACTTGTTGGGGGCTGGAGGAGAAGGGGGAGTGCTGGGAACTCTGGAGATTCTGGCTGGCACCTAGAAGACTGGGAGAGCATGGACACAGGAAGGTGATTTTCAGGCACAATCAACAAGAAAGGGTGTAGATCAGTGGTGGACTGCATAATCAGGGACCCTACCATGGGGCAGTGCTGGGTGGCACTGTGGAAGGGAAGTAGGTGAATGGGGGAAAAATCTTATCATATTTCTCTGATAAGGCCTTGGTGTCTCAAGATACGTAAACAATTAATAACTACATATGAGTAATAGCCATTCTCTAATAGATAACTGGTGAAAGGATATAAATAGTTTTCAAAAGAATAACTGCAAAATGTTCACGACCACATGAAAAGCTCTAAACCACTAGTAATAAGAGAAATACAAATTAAAACAATCTGGAGGCTTCACTTCACACCCAGCAAATTGACAAAAATGGCAGCGATCAGTGATGGAAAGGGTTTTGGGAAGATAGGCACACTAGTACATTTTTGGTGGAGCTGTGAAGTGGTTACAGCCATTTTGGAAAGCAATTTGTAATTATGCAAATAGAGTGACTAAAATGTCCTTACCTTTATTTTTTATAATTAATTTCATTTATTTTTAGTTTTCAACATTCACTTCCGTAAGATTTTGAGTTGTAAATTTTCTCCCCTTTCCCCTCTCCTCCCCCCTCCCCAAGACAGCACGCAATCTGATATAGGCTCTACATATACATTCATATTAAGCATATTTTCACATTGGTCATGATGTAAAGAAGAATTAGAACTAATGGGAAGAACCATGAGAAAGAAGAAACAAGACAAAACAACAAAAGAAAAGGAGAACAAATAGTCAGCTTCCATCTTTTCCAGACTCCATGGTTCTTTCTTTGGATGTGGATAGCATTTTCCATCATGAACCTTTTGGAGATGTCTTAGATCCTTGCATTGCTGAGAAGAGCTAAGTGTATCAAAGCTGGTCATTGCGTAGTGTTACTGGTACTATGTACCACATTCTCCTAGTTCTGCTCACTTCACTCAGCATCAGTTCATATCAGTTCCAGGTTTTTCTGAAGTCCACTTGCCCATCATTTCTTATAGCACAGTGGTATTCCGTTACATTCATCGATCACAACTTGTTCAGCCATTCCCCAGTTGCTGGACGTTCCCTCAGTTTCCAATTCTTTGCCACCACAGAAAGAGCTGCTATAAATATTTTTGTACGTGTGGGTCCTTCCCCCATTTTTATGATCTCTTTGATATACAGCCCTAGAAGTGCTATTGCTGGGTCAAAGGGTATGCACAGTTTTTTGGACCTAGTTCCAAATTGCTCTCCAGAATGGTTGGATCAGTTCACAGCTCCACCAACAATGCATTAGTGTTCCAAGTTTCCCATGTGTTATCCAACATAAAATGTTCTTATGCTTTAAACCAGAGATTCTATTACTGGGCTTATGCCCCAAGGAAGCCATTGATAAGAAGAAAGTCTTCCTATAATCCAAAATATGGATAGCAGCATTTTTTTGTGATGGCCAAGGATTGGAAACAAGTAGATGCCTGTTGATTCAGGGGTGGTGAAACAAATTGTACATGAATGAAGGGAGTGTGACTGAGCTCTAAGAAATGGTGAGTGTGGTGAATATGAAGAAGTCTGGAATGATCTCCACGAACTGATGCAGAGTGAAGTCAGCAGAGCCAAGGAAACACTATACACAGCGACTGCAACAGGGTAAATGGAAAGAACGGCGATGCACCGGAAAGCCAGAAGTCAAAGCCACAATATTAGAAAGCTCGAGCGGGGCCGGAACGCAGAGAGATGAGAATCCTCCCCCTTCCGCACCTTCGTGGAGGTGGCAGGGCCACAGCAGCCCAGGTCTTCAGACTTTCCCAGTGTACCGATCAGTTGGGCGACTCTTGTCTCTCCAGGAAATACTGTTTGTTACGTGGGAGGGGGATGGAGACGAACACTTGGGATGCTGAGGGGATGTGAGAAAATGTCAGTAAAACTTATGTGATGAGTGAGCGATGCAGTGCGCCGTAGAGGGTGTGACTTTGTGGTTTTCTGGATCAGTCTGCAGGGGTTACAGGGCTCTGTTTGCAGACTGGATTGCTGTAGATTCCTTATCACCTGTTATCATTCTAAGTCTTTTTGTCCCTCCCCTCCCTAGATGGAGCGGCAGCGTTTGGCTCGAGAGAAGCAGATGAGGGAAGAGGCCGAGCGAACGAGGGATGAATTGGAGAGGAGGCTCTTACAGTTGAAGGAGGAAGCAACTATGGCCAATGAAGCTCTGGTGAGTCCTTGGAGAGACTAACCGCACTTTGTGACACTACCCGGTGTGACGGAAAGAAGAAGGACTGGAGCTAGAAGAGGGCCTGGGTTCTAGTCCTGCTTCAGTTTCAGCCTGTCTAAGATGGGGCGGCGGGCAGCAGGCTGGTAGAGGCAGGCTGGATGGCCTGTTTCATCGGTGAGTCCTAGGCTTCTCTCATTGCTGCCATTGGGCATTCTTAATCGGGGTGAAAGCTGAAGAGGGTAGAAGGGGCCATCGCCACCCTGGCATCTGAGAGGACCTGACGGGTCTGGGAGTTCTCTTTGAGCCCAATAACCCTCCTTCTGAAGACATTCTCTGAGGGGGAGCACTCGGACCCAGCTTCACTCTTTTTGCTCTCATTTTGATGTGTGTCTGTATTTCTCCATTGTTGGAGAAATTGGCGTCAGAAACAGACTCACACCGAGTTCTTAACGTTTTTCATCAAGTTCGTTACCAGCTATATCCTTTTCTTGCTTCACTACTTAGAGAGCCATCTCTTGTATCAGAGAATGAAAAAGAGGGCATAGGGCACTTTAAAACTGAAGAACACATCACCCGTATCTGATAGTATATAGAATATTCTGCACCTGTAGTTCCCCACTTCTGCCATAAAGGGAGAGTAGAATTTTCTCAACTCTGCTCCAAGCTAAAGCTTGGTTATTATAATTTCACGGTGTTCTTTTGTTGTTGTTGTTGTTGTTCAGTTGTTCAGCAGTGTCTGACTCTTCGTAACCCTGTGGGACATGGCATGCTGGGCCCTTCTGTCCTCTACTATCTCTTGAAGTCTGCCCAAGCTCACGTTCATTGTTTCCTTGACACTATCTATCCATCTCATCTTCTGCTGTCCCTTTTTCTTTTTGCCTTCAGTCTTTCCCAACGTCGGGGTCTTTTCCAGTGAGTCCCATCTTCTCATTATGTGACCAAAGTGTTTAAGCTTCAGCTTCAGTATTTGTCCTTCCGATGAGAAATCTGAATTAATTTAAGTATTGATTGATTTGATCTCCAAGAGACTCTCGAAAGTCTCACAGCCATACTTTGCTACTGAAAAAAACATAGCTTTGATTATATGGACCTTTATCAGCAAGGTGATGTCTCTGCTTTTGAGTATGCTGTCCAGATCCACCACGGCTTTCCTTCCAGGGAGCGAGTATCTTTTAATTTCATGGCTGCAGTCACGGTCTGCAGTGATCTTTGAGCCCAAGAATATAAAATCTGACATTGCTTGCATTTCTTCTCCCTCTGTTTGCCAGGAGCAGTAGCCAAGATCTTAGTCTTTTTTAATGTTAAGCCAGCTTTTACACTCTCCTCTTTCATCTTCATCAAGAGGTTTCTTCTGCCGTATTTGTTTTCATCATGTGTACTGGTTTACCATTTTTTCCCCTTATTTTACTCTTCAGAAGTTCATGTAAGTCTTTCCATACCTCTATGAATTTTTAAGTCCATAATTCCTTATAGTGCAGTAATATTCTATTGCATTCATACCTCACAATATATTTAGGCATTCCCCAGTGTGTAGTTACCTACTTTGTTTCCCATTTTTCAATATGACAAAAATGCTGTTATGAATATTTTGGGATATATTCGACTCTTCTTTTTATCTTTGACATCCTTGAGGTTAGATTGAGTTTAAATAATGACATGATGAGACATTGTAAGTCAAAGCAACAAGCATCTATTAAGCTCCTACTATGTGCCAGGTATGTTGCTAAGCACTGTAAACCCTATGTATGTTAAGCTTCACATTATAAGTCACTGGGGATACAGTCCATGTAAAGTAGGTAGAGGAAACTTCATGATACAGAGTTGTTTTATTCTCTTTCATTCTATTTTATTTTCAGTTCTGAAATCTCTTACTTCCTACCCTTACCCCACTTATTGAGGAGGCAAGGAAAAACAAAATCCATTTCAGATATGTGTAATCATGCAAAACAAATTTCTTCATTAGCCCTTCTGAGAGAGAGAGAACTTCAGTCAGTACTTGAGTGCATCAGCTCCTTATCTGGAGGTGGGCAGCATGTTTCATTATTGCTTTTTTGGCATTCTGGTGGGTCATTGTGTTGATCAGAGCTCCTGAGTCTTTCAGAGTTGTTTGCAATATTGCTGTTGTATAAATTGTTCTCTTGGTTCTGCTCACTTCATTCTGTATCAGTTCATAAAAATCATCCCTTGTTTTACTGCAACCACCTCTTTCATTATTTCTTACAACACGGTAGTATTGCATTACACATTAAATATACCGTAGTTTTTTTAGCCATTCCCCAGTTGATGGGCACCTCCTCAGTTTCCATTTCTTTGCCACCACAAAAAAGGTAGTATAAATATATTTGTATATAAGGGCCCTTTTACCATTTTCTTTGATCTCTTTGGGGTATAGACCTAGTAGCAGCATTGATGGATCAAAGGGGATGCACAGTTTAATAGCTATTTGGGCCTAGTTCCAAATTGTTCTCCAGAATGGTTGGACCAGTTCACAGCTCCACCATTGGTATACTTGTTTTCTCACATCTCCTCTAGCATGTGTCATTTCCCTTTTTTTATCTTAGTCAATCTGATGGGTATGAGGTGGCACCTCAGAGTTGTTTTAATTTGTATTTCTTTAACTATTAGTGATTTGGAACATTTTTATATGATTATTGATGGCTTGAATTTCTCCTCTGAAAACTGCCTATTCATATCCTTTGACCCTTTGTCAATTAAGGAATGGCTTTTATTCTTATAAATTTGAATCCATTTCCTGTATATCTTAGAAATTAGATCTTTATGGAAAGAAACTTGCCGTAAAGATTATTTTTCCCACTTTTCCTGTTTTTCTTCCAATTTTGGCTGCATTGTCTTTGTTTGTACAAAAGCCTTTTGATTTTATGTAATCAAAATTACCCATTTTACCTCTTTTGAACATCTGTGTCTCTTACTTGGTCATGAACTCTTCCCCTATCCATAGATGTGACAGGTAATTTCTTCCAGGCACTACTACATTCTCCTCTTTATGTCTGAATCATGTCTCCATTTTGAGCTTGTCTTGGTAGATAGAGTGAGATGTTGGTCTGTGTCTGGTTTCTGCTAGGCAGCTTTCCAGTTTTCTCACTGGTTTTTGTTGAACAGTGAGCTCTTGCCTCAACAGCTGGGATCTTTGGGTTTATCAGACATTAAAATACTATGTTCATTTGCTACTGTATATTGTATACCTAATCTGTTCCATTGATAAGCCTCTCTATTTCTTATCTAATACCAAGTTGTTCTGTTGGTTACAGTTTTGTAGTAGAGTTTTAGATCTGGCACTGCTAGGCTTCCTTCCTTCCTTTTTCTTCATTGACTCCCTTGATGTCCTTGACCTTTTGTTTCTCCAGATGAATTTTGTTATTATTTTTTCTAGCTCTCTAATGTAATCCTTTGATAGTTTGATTGGTATGGCACTGATTACATAAATTGTCTAGCACTCAACATAGTGCCTGGCATATAGCAGACACTTCATGAATGCTTATTGACTGACTAGTGTTGTCATTTTTATGATGTTGACTTGTTCTACCTAGGAACAATTACTATTTCTCCAGTTATTTAGATCTCTCTTTATTTGGGTGAGGAGTATTTTGTAATTGTATTCACGTAGTTCCTGTGTGCGTCTTGGCAGGTTGACTCCCAAATATTTTATGTTGTCTGTAGTTATTTTAGATGGAATTCTTCTATTTCTTCTTTCTGGGTTTTGTTGGTAATTTACAGAAATGCTGATGATTTTTTTGGGTTTATTTTATTTTATTTGTTTTTTTAGGCAGTTGGGGTTAAGTGACTTGCCCAGGGTCACACAGCTAGTTAGTGTCAAGTGTTTGGTCCGAGGCCGGATTTGAACTCAGGATCTCCTGACTTCAGGGCCGGTGCTCGTCCACTGTGCCACCTAGCTGCCCTTTTTTTTTTTTAAGGGTTTATTTTGTATTCTGCCACTCTGTTGAAGTTGTTCATTGTTTCAATTAGTTTTTTAATGGACTCTTTAGGTTTCTCTAAGTAAATCATGCCAGTGCTTATTCTGTTCAATCCTTTTTTCCTTGTCACTATGTTTAGCATTTCTAGTGCAGTACAGAATAGTAATGGTAATAGTGAACATCCTTGCTTCACTCCTGACAGCATTGGAGAGATTTCTAGCTCGTCCCCATCACAGATAATGCTTGCTTTTGGTCTTAGATGTTACTTATCATTTTAAGGAAAACTCTGGACGTGGCCAGAGCAAGATGATGGAGCAGGTTGAGACCTAACTTCCAACATTCCACCCCAGACAGCTTCAGAATAATGCCTCAAATCAGACTTTGGAGCAGCAGAGCCAACAAAAGGTCAGAGGGAGACCGTTATCCAGCCTACGACAACTTAGGAGGTCTGCAGGGGAGGGATGGGCACAGGCCCAAAGTGTGTCAAGAGCCCCAGTGGTGGGTCTTGGAGGTGGTCACAAAATGGGAGCTCTTCAACGCAGAGACGGTAAGGAGGTCAGACAACTAGTCAGAAAGAGTAGAAGAAAATGTTAAATATCTCATTGGAAAAACAACTGACCTGGAAAATAGATCAATGAGAGATAATTTAATATTGGACGACCTGAGATAATGATCACAAAAAAAGTCTAGGCATCATATTTCAAGAATGTATTAAGGAAAACTGCCCTGATATCTTCTATTCAAAGAGTAAAATAGAAATTGAAAGAATCCACCAATCACCTTTTGAAATAGATCCTAAAATGAAAACTCCCTGGAATATTATAGTCAAATTCCAGAGCTCCCAGGTCAAGAAGAAAATATTGCAAGCAATCAGAAAGAAACAGTTCAAATGTTGTGGAGTCACAGTCAAGATCACGCAAGTTTTAGCAGCTTTCATGTTAAAGGAGCCAGAGGGCTTGGTATGATATTCCAGAAAGCAAAGGAGCTAGGATTGCAACCAAGAATAATTTACCCAGCAAAACTGAATGCAGTCCTTCAGGGGGGGAACTGGACATTTAACAAAATAGA